AGATCACACGTTGGATTTATCCTTAGATAACGATTTGACAGGGCCAAGGAATTATTTGATGAATATCTAAAACGGTGCCACCGTTAATTCAAAAATTAAAATTAACTGTGCCTCTGAAACTCGACGGGTGGTGTGAAGAAAGACATGATATTCTACTACATTCATTGTTATTGCAAGAATTTGCCAAAGAGAAAGAGTGCAACAGTGGTCCGTCGATGTCTCCTCCGTACAGCGCCTATAAGGGCACTTTCATGCCCAGTTCAATGAGTTGAGTCAGGCGTCAGGAACCGTCTTTCTGCCTCGCCCACTAAATGTCATATTTTTGCTCCTAAGGCAACCAGCATCTTTGTTTTCCTTGTTGAATAGGGCAGGAAGTTGTATCACAACCAGTTAACGCGTGCGAGAGATAAGATTGAGGAAGAGAAAAGGAGAGCTCATCCACGTATTAAACGACGTGGATGAGAATTTTTGGCAACCTGTGTCGTTTTCTGCCACATTTCTGAAGAAGACGTTCTTCTTATTCGACTCCAATCCCATTCAAAAGAACAAGTCGACTTTCCTCTCGATTATCAGGACGTTTGAAAGGAAGAGCTCTATCGAGTTTTTTTTCAAAAACCGGAAGGAGAAAGCTAATCAAACCTCGTTTGTTGTATTTCATTGTCCGAAATTGCTTCTGGGACACCCCTGTTGTGTCTAATGTAGATTATTTCAGAATAATGTCACTGCATAACGAGGCAGCATAACGACGTAAACGTTCCGGCAGTTTTGGTGCCCCTACTACGATTAGTCAGGGTATTATCGAAAAAACACGGTACATTTCTTCCGAAATTTTTGACGTGTAAACTATGTAAGATTGCTGCGTATTTGATTCTATTATTACTCTTACGTGGAGTAAGTAGGCGACCAATCAGCCCGGCCCAATGTTCATGTGGGATGCTTTGTGACACAAAAGCCTTTGGAAAAATGCTGAGCGATCAATATTAAGCTTATTTTCGTTTGGTTTAATAGCTTGATGCGCCAAGGTTCGTACGCTTTTCCTTTCATTTGAAATCCACTTTCCAAACGTTGGCTCAGGAATTTTTTGACCCACGAAGCCCCTGTTTGTGCCACTGTGACAATTAACCTTCAAACGCCCCGAAAATTGACATACATTGGGGTTGAGTAAATAGTACTCAAGGTGTGTCTTTTAATCCTGACAGGTGTAGTTTGTTTGGCCGAACGTAGAAAAGGGGGAAAGGCAGGATGTACTTAATCGCTGTAGTATTCATAAATCATGTGTGTTTTGTGCTCCGGTAATCAGGCGACGCAATATTCAATGTTAAAGTTCAAATTGAAAGAAAAAAAACTGCAATGATTGTGGAATCAAAACACCTTGCTGTCCTGTTAGATTGCTGATTGGTGTAAAATATCAATGAATAAAAAATAAATTTGACTGTGCGCGCGGATTCTATATTGTTCGTAATTACGATTAATTTTATCATTAACAAATGTCACATATCATAAATATTAAATAATTCGTTATGTTTCGAAGTCCTTGTCTTTTAAGAACGCTCCAGGATCGTGTGAAGCTCTATTGTAACTATTCGTGTACGTTAATAGCCCCTAGGGTATGGCATAGCATGTGCAAATCCAAATTTTGAATCTGGTTGTTAGTTTTGCTTTTATTCTAAAGTTACATAAATATAAAAATTTCAAATATTGCTTCCAAAAATAAGAAATGTTGGCACGGCACTATTATATATTAAAACGCAATATTGGGACTAGCAGGCGCTACATTTTGGCTTTTTATTCCAAGTTGGCCAATTCTACAAACTCAAAAGCTAAATCAAATTTTGATGGCAGTTTAAAATTTGCTTTTATTCGCAAGTGTCTAAGTTATCAAATTTTCACAAATAAGAAAGTGCACGTTTGGTTTATAAATGGTCGGATGCGAAGAGGGCAATGTGATGCTGATCGATCTCTACGGCTTAACTTTGGAATTGCCGTTTTTATATGGCTTAAAGCTATGGGCACATTGAATTCATGCAATCGGTTATGAGACTAGATGGGAGATGTCAAAGGGCCTGTCTATTTTAAGTTTCTTTTAGCGCTACATTGCAATTCACAAACTCCGAGCTACAGATATTTGATAAGCGTAGATCCCAATTGATCAAATTTCATCGTCAATTGGTAAATTCGTTTTACGACAGACTAACGTTGCTTAACGCCACGGACGACAGACCGGAAAGGACGCCGCAAAATTATTAGAAACTCTGTTAGGAAGCTCGTTAATAAATTTACGTTCATTTCAGAGTTAATTTGAAACATTTGCAACAGGGAGGGGTGCTAACAGGTTTCCTAGTTCGCATTCCTAGTGTATCACTTGTCAAAAGTGTTTCAGGCAACAACCTCAGCAATCCAGTCGAGCATTAATTTTTTAGGGGCCAAACTACCCCTTTTTGCCAAACATCGATAAAACTTAAAAGGGCTAAGGTGACGGAAAAATTTGGTTCAGACTGTGTTAGAGGCTTTGGACACACTCTTTCAGAATATTTCCACCCTTTAAATACATCAACACTCTTGTGGTTTAATAAAAAAAGTAGTTTACAGTCCCCACTCGCAAAGGTTAATAATTTTATTTTGTCGTCGACCTATTGTGCAATTTCGAACAAGTTGTGGTGTTCAAACTTCCTGAATAAGATGGGCATATTCAAACCCCTATAGTACAATATATAGAAATATGAAGTCTAATGGAATCAATAATGAGCATATACTGTCCAATATACCTACTCGGAAGCAACCCAATGACACGCATTAGTTCAATGCTTAAGCAAGCCTAACTTAGGACTCGACATCAATTAACTAGCTTATATATGCCTACGTTAATGCCACC